TGGATGACGATGTCCTCTTCTAACAGGATTATTCACTAAACTGAGAATTCTAAGTACATTTCAAATCTAAGGAAAAATCAAAACTGAAGCAAACTTGACTTTGAAAACTTCTATTTTGACTTCTCTGATCTTTGGCTTCATCCACTTTGAATTCTCACTTTTGGCGAAGAACCCTGTAATTTATCAATATAAATAATTATATATATGTAATAAAATACTGAGAAAAGGTAAAAGAACACTCGCACCCCATAGCGGTTTTGCAATGGCTGATGCTCAGTTTATACTGCGAGGGCCGTGTTCAGCACCGGGGCTCTAACTTTCTCCATTACGCAAACTCAGATAGTCACAGTTACTTTTAATTTTACAATCTGCTGCTGTACTTGGGGAACACCTATGGTAAAGGTTGGTTTGCTATGTAACCGCTGTACTTGGGGAACACCTGTGGTGAAGGTTGGTTTGCTATGTAACCGCTGTACTTGGGGAACACCTGTGGTAAAGGTTAGTTTGCTATGTAACACATATTTACCTGCATATGAGTTTATATTTTACTTCCCATTATACTCTATGGGCATTCTCTTTAGTCACTCACCCTGGTCATTCCATCGAAAACAATGATAATCCCACCTAATCTCAACTTGAAAATAATGACACTGAACCTGGAGAGTGAGCCTGCAAAAGATTTACTTCATATGTCTAATAGTTTTGCCTCTAATTAAAATATTTTGTTTCCATTATTGTCTATGGGCATTCCACTGCCTTGTTAAAGTCTATGGGCATTCCAATCTGTCATTCCTTTTAGTATGTCCCCACCCTGGGGCCCTTAGTGCCCTCTCCACCAGTCCACCCTGGGGCCTTAGTGCCCTTTCCACCAGTCCACCCTTGGGCCTTAGTGCCCTTTCCACCAGTCCATCCTGGTGCCCTCAGTGCCCTCTCCACCAATCCATCGTGAGGCCCTTAGTGCCCTCTCCACCAGTCCACCCTGGGGCCTTAGTGCCCTCTCTACCAGTCCATCCTAGTGCCCTCAGTGCCCTCTCCACCAATCTATCCTGAGGCCCTCAGTGCCCTCTCCACCAGTTCATCCTGGGGCCCTCAATGCCCTCTCTCCCCAGTGCTGGCAGTCCTGTTCCTCACCTAAACAAACCTCACTGGGAGATGCCAACATGGCAGGTACAGGTGGTGCTGGTCAACAACCTGGTATCCAGACTGCCCTCCATCCCTGACCATGAATTGCCACCCCCCATCCCTGACCATAGATTGCCTCCCTGCCCCCTCCCTTCCTGACCATAGACTGCCACCCTCCCCCTCCGATCATAGACTGCCACCCTCCCCCCGACCGTAGACTGCCACCCTCCCCCCTGACCATAGAGACTGCCCCCTCTCTCCAAGACCATAGAGACTTCCTCCCTCACTGACTAATATAGAGACTGCCCCCCTCCCTGACCACTACAGAGACATCTCCCTACCTTAGAGACACCTCTTTTTCTGACCATTGAGACACCCCACATAGTGTGAGGAAGCATCCTGTAGGGTAGGTTTAGAAACTGAGTGACTGAGTGGGTAACTGAGTGTGTCCTTTCCTTTGCAGTCTGCCTCCAGCCTCCCAGCCCTGAGGGTGATCTCTTGGTGGAGGATTTGGAAGTTTTGGATAGTGCTGTGAATCCTTTAGAGGTGACCGCAGAGAGAGACCTGGACTCAAGGAACACGCATGAAGGTTGGAAGCAATGCATAAAGCAGATCGTACATGTGTCCACAACAAACAGTCTATTTGTGGGGTTCAGCCTCTCCCTTCCTTTTTATAGCAGAGTACCGGGACA